GTCCACTGCGTGCGTCGGTGAGCTGGTAATGGCGCCAGGATTCGTGTATTTTATCGCGAGCCACTACGCGATTTTATTTGTTGTCATGATGTACTGCTACATCACCATCGTCAAGATCGCCAGGGACCATGCGCGAAGGATCGCCGCAGCGTCAGTGGCGGGTAGAGAGTGCACGACAGGTTTCCACGCAACATGGAAGACGTCAAAGATAATGCTTATGGTTGTCGGCTCCTCGTGCACTCTTCTTGCTCCGCACGTTCTCCACATGGTCCTGATCTACAGCTTCCCGTCGGGGCTTCAAACACTACGGGTTATTCGAGCTAATGCCCTGCTACTGAATTCACTGATTAATCCGATTATTTACTTCTACAAGTACACGGAATTTCGGTCAGCCGTCAGAGAACTTTTCGGTTGTGGGACGTCCTCTGAGGTTACATCATTTCAACCCGACACGGAGCAGGAAGCGTAGCGAAGCGATCAAGCTATTAGACAAACAGTAACTTATTGTACCATAATAATGATGTAAAGAAAATTGTACACAAGCGTCAAGTATATATGTGTTGCATGAATTACGAGCATTGTATGTAATGTTTAACGCAATGGAATGCGCAATCATTATACACCATTCTGGGTGTACGTGAGTCTCGCGGGGGCGTGTCATTATATGGCGTCATTGTAGAAGATATTACACCGATAGCACTTAGTTATAACGCTAGTTGTCGTGAGATTTTGTTGGTAAATAAATCTGTGAGCAACATATACGGAACGTGTTTTGCCACGTAAAATGTCCTTCCCTGTAGTATTGCCTCTATACAGCGAGTTACTTTCGACGTCACACTGGCCTAATAATATTATTGTTTCACTGATATATACACGAGTCTTTACTTTGTCATTAAACAAAGGCGTCACTGTAAAGTTTAATTATTAATTTTGGTAATCGGAGGAACAGCATTTCTCGCATTTGCTATTTTATCTCAGTATGTTTAGTAAATTTTGTGGTTTCAGGGAATAACCTCATACGTGAATAATCTCCACGTCTCGGCACGACTCATTTACCGTTAGAGTTTTGACGCATATTATCAGGAGTAGATAATAGTTCCCTATTATCTACTTCTGATATTATCGATCCAGGCTTTTCAGCAATGGAGGAGATTTTAGAGTTAAGAACTAATTGTCTGAGAAGACCAAACTTCCGCATTCGGTCTTAGCTGTTTCCGAAAAACCTCCCGCCCGGACATAATTATACATATAGTGCCAGTGACACAACGCAGCACAGCGTTGAACGGTGGCAACAAATATATAGCACTAGCGGGATATACCCGGCGTTGCCCGGGGAAATTAGTGGCATTACTCAGTTGGTGACCGCTTAGTTGAAAGGAAAATACCCCCAAAAATCTATCTATCTATCCATGCATGCAT